AAAGCATCCTTGATTATAGCAACTCGAGGTTTGACCACCAGAGAGGCACCACCTTTCAGTTACCAGTACACCCCTCTACCCACTAGGCTACCAGACCTCCCTTTAATTACCCTAGGCAATGCAAGTGAATAAGAACTAGTCCATCCTTTCAAAGGATTTATGCTCAGAGGAAATAGAATGCAAAAATGAGAAATATGAGCATTAAAGACATATAAAGTGTTTCTAGAGCACAGAACAAAACCTTCCTATTGGATCAGTGAAAATGTTAATAGAGCAATGTCATTTAAACATGACTTTGAAGCCCACTGGGTTTTCATCTGTTAGCCATGTTGGGAATAACAATCAAGGCTTGCTAAAGGAGAGTGAGTGAAAGGCAAAAAATGGTCCATGAAAGATGGGCTTGAAAAAAGCCATGACTACCTTTGACCATAATCGTGGAAATAGGAGACTGAAGCCAGATTATCTGGGCGTTGAATGACCTACAAAGGTGCCACCTTAGTGAAACCATGCCATCACAGCAATGTTCTAAGACAACTGGCTCTCCAACATTAGTGGGGATGAAAATCAGGGCTCATTAAAGCACACGTTTGGCTTCATCGCCATAGTTACCAATTCAGTAGATCTAGAGTAGGCCCAAGAATTGACACATTCAATAAATTCTCAGGCAATACCGGTTTGAGAACCGCTGCAGGAGTGCAAATTTGCCCAAAGGGACTGTGCAGTGAGGGTTAGAATGAGAGAAAATTCATCGTGGCCACAAATCAGAAGACAATTACCCCAACAAGGTGAAAAGTGAAGGGCTAATGTGGGGTAAATAAAAATAATAGGGTTGACTGTAGTCTAGAAATGGGTGTTTTAAAATAAATATCCAGTTCTATGGTACTTTTCTCCATTGTAATCACTGAAAAACTGCTATAAATGCATTCATGGAGTATTAATGCAATATAAAAACAAACTTGAATTTCTGTTAATATGATAAATGTTTTCTTCTCAATAAGTCAAAAATTACATATTTATTAGAGGAATGAGGTCCTACAAAGTATATTACAAAGTATCCTTTTGTTTTTTTCTGGTATTGAGATGTGAAGAAGAGAACTCAATCAGAAATGTGTTCAGATGTGTGACTATTCCTTTCACTGTTATAAATTAGACTTATCGTTAGGATTAACAATTTCAAATTTATTGTATTTTGTCACAACTGCAAAAAATTTCCTAATTCATTTTTCTACTCTCCTGAAAGTACCTCTAAATTCTATAATGATCCATAGTTCTTCTTTTATATGAAGGTGACACTTAAGAAAAGTGAGCTAGGGTAAGGGCCTTGGAAATTTTAGATAAGAATTGCTACAGTTTAGAATTTACCCATAAACTTATCCATTATTACTCTGAACTCTACCATTTTGCTATCTAACAGCTAATTGAGGCAATATTTTTCTACCACTTTGCTATCTAACAGATAACTGAGGCCATATTTTCCTTTACTTTTTGCAGAGATTTATCGTGCAACAGAATATCATACATTGAAAAGGGCACGTTTGAAGCATTGCCCTTTTTGGAGTATGTGTAAGTTATAATCAAATATAATTTAATTATATTTGGAATTTTTCTGAAACCTCATTACAAACTATTTGTGGTTGATTTTGAAATGTTGCCTTCTTATTTGTGGGACAATTGTAAAGCTATGTGGCAAAGCCTTTCCATCTGTAGTAAAGATGAGGGGAGAATGACTAGGCAGGTAAGAGTGAGAGAGCGGTGGTTCTCCACCAGGATGACTGTGGACCCAGGGGACATTCGGCAACATCTGAAGGCATTTTCAGTTACCACAACTGTGAGTGTGATGTTGTCATCCCAGTGGAAGGTGCCAAAGATGCTGCTGAGCATCAGGGAATGCACAAAAACAGTCCCCCCAACAAAATAGTACGTTATTATTATTAGTTCCTGTGGAGTTAGCTGTCACTCATTGCGACCTCATGTACATGTTGTACAAGAGAGCAAAGTGTTGCCCGGTCCTGCACTGTCTCCTTGATCAGGGGAACCAAAATTTACCCAGCCCCAACTGGCAACAGCGCTGTGCTTGAGAAACCCTGCTCTAGAATAAAGACTGTTTAATCCAAGTATTTATTTACTGTTTTATACCAGATGCACCACATGTATAAATACAAAAGTGTAAGTGAGAGGCAAGTATCATCCAGAATGAGGTTTCCTTAGTGTGCAGGTAGGGAGGAGTGAAGTTTTTTGCATCATATGCAAATTATTATCAATGACAAAGGATAGTTTCCTGAAAGAATATCTTTCCTTTATTATCAATGACAAAGGATAGTTTCCTGAAAGAATATCTTTCCTCTCTTGCTTGTGTCTAATTTTTTTAGAGATCTGGGGTGCAATGCCATAAGTGAAGTCAGTTTTGCTACGTTTCAGACCTGGCATGGACTGCAATATTTGCATAATATGTAAGTAAAATAGGAGATGAAGACCTTGGGAGGGGAAATTATTTCAGTACTTAAACAAATATAGAGTATGAGTTAGTTGTGTCAGCTTAGAACTAATTCTGAAACATATGTTTTAGGATCCATTTATCCAACTGAGAATACAGAGAGGCTGAGAGCCTTCTCTAACTCCTGTGTGACACCCTCAGCTTTCTCTAGTACTGATCCTGTCATGGGCAGTTCAAGTCACCAGCTTAGCGCTGTCATGGGAACCCTGGTGATGCTGCTAGGATGGTCCCTAGGAGTCTACACTGGAGTTTAACCAAAGTTCCTCACTGACTGAATGCACCTTAGAAAGCTGCAAAGGAAAGGCTTAGCTCAGCTTCCCCCAAGGAATCCTAACACAGGATCCTTCCATAGATCCAGCCATAGAAAGCAAAATTAACTCTTGGAAATCTGCCACAGTGCACATTTCTCTCTTCTGCCGCCCAGGACACTATTTCTCAGATAGTCGGGAAATGTCTGTGGTCAGTAGGAAACTCTGAGGCATGAACAAAGATGGTATTTAAGTAGGGCGATAGTGGGGAAAGTGTTAAGAACGAAAAACACACTGCTCTCACCTAATTCCAGGCACTTTCTTTCCTGACTGCTCTTCGACATGAAGTGTGGGGTTTTATTCCTTTCAGCTAAAAATTCTGTGATTTGTCTTTGACTTGAGCAAATCCCCATGAGCGTGTTCACTGGCACAAAGGAACTTATGGACCAAAGGTGAAACTTTCTTCTAAATCTAAATTGGGAGAGGATTGTCTTAAGCTTCAGGAAACCCTTTTCACATTGTTTCAATTTAATGGAGATGTTTGTTTAGCCTGTTTCTGGCTCCAGATTAACAGATTCTACAGGCACCAAACTATAAGCACCTCTCCCCACTATTAAATTGCTGATGCTGCACTTGGTAGTGATGGCACAATAGGTAAGTATTAAGTTTTCGTTCTGGTTTTGTTTGGAGTTTGGGGAAGACAATTGGAGTCTCTTTTTCTCCTTTTTTGCCAGCACCCCTTAAGAAGAGTTTATGGTAACAGACCAGAAAGCAGAGTCACTAGGATCCTCCACGAAGCTATGGAACCTTCACTAGTAGTGTCATAACGACCCTCATAAGAATTCAGGTTTCTTTGTAGTTATGGGGCAATGGCAGTGCACATGGTTGGGGAATCACACTTACATTTGTTTAATCATCCAAAACTTTCACTGAAGGGCCTGACTATAGTGTCAGCTTACTGTGCAATGAACTGGGGTACAAAAAAGTATAGGACAGTACTCTTTCCCAAAGGACATCCTTCTAGCCTAGAAGGATGATATTAAGCTGATAGAAAACCCATAGAGGGCCCTGCTGGGATTCATGTGACAGTCTGACAAGGTAGGAAATGACAAAGCAGTTCATTGCCAACAAGCTAGTCCAATACACGGCATCCCTGGAGCACAGACAACCACCTACAGGGTCTTCAAGACTGTAAATCTTTATGGAAGCCAAGTGCCACATCTTTCTCGCACAGGGCATCTGTGTGTTGAAACACTGACCAAGTGATTAATGGGGGAGGGAATTAGAAATAAATCATAGGAAAAGTGGATGGAGAAGAGACCGATTTATTAATGTCAAATTTCTGCGTGCATCTCAAATAAAGGAAGTATTAGCTGTAGCTGATATTAGAAATGATGGGCATGTGGTTCAAATAGAGCCATAAGGCACTTTGGTGGCATAATCTGTAATATGATGTACTGAAATAGGACAGAAAAAATAGAGAGATCATAGGACAAGGAAAAGGTTTACAGTTCCTCACCACACAGCTGACTCATGGGGAACGGAGAAAGGAATCATGCTACTGCTTCTCCATCCACCAGTGTGTGTTCTTCTGGCAACTGGTATCTTATGCATTGCAATGTGTATAGGTCTTTTTCCCCCCCAATGAGATTACATTTGTCTACTACAAAAACTCACCATTTTAATTGCATGATTTTGGTGGTTTTTAAGTATATTCACAAAAATGTATAGGCATCACCACTGTTTCTAGGATATTTCATATCCCCAAAACAAGAACTCATGCAACCACTTAATACATTGTTTTATAAATTTGTCACGTGTGTCTATTTCCTGTAACTGGGAGTATAAAATATGTGTTGTACTATGTCTTGCTTCTTTCACTTAATGTGATGTTTTCAGGGTTCATCTATGTTGTACCATGTCCTTCCTTCCATTTTATGGCTGAATAATTGTATGTATTTGGAAGCAGGGTGGGGGCATTCACTTCCTAAATAACATGCCTCTGGAAACTTTATAAACTTTGATGTCAGTAGTTTTAGAGGGGCTTCCAAACTTTTGTTGATAAGGTTGTTGTGAGTTGTTCTTGAATTGAAGGCAATCAACAATAACATCACCACCAACAATTGTAAGTATATGTCACATTTTGTTATTTCATTCAACAAATTAATACTGTGAAACACAGAATCTGCTCTGACACACATAACATGGGCTAATTAAACATTCACCCATGGAAGGTAAACACATTTTAAAATAGCTTAATATATATATATATATATATATATATATATATATGTGTGTGTGTGTGTGTGTGTGTGTATATATATATATATATATATATATATATATATATATATATATATATATGTAAAAACATGATTATTGTTGTTCTTCAGTACTATCGAGTTAGGACTGAGTCATAACTGACCTTCCAAAGGGTTTTCAAAGGCAGTTAATCACAGAGGAAGAGACTGGCTATCCTTCGTCAGGGAATCTGGTGGCCTTGAACCCCTTGAATGACTTTGGGATTGCAGTGCACTTTCTTACCACTAGGACACCAGAGATCCCATTTATTGTTTGTTCTTTTTGATTGCCTTGGAGTGGAGCACAACTTATAGCAACCCTATGTACAAAAGGCTTGGATCCCCTCTACAACTATTTGATGTTTATCAAAGTTCATAGAGTTTCTAGAGGCATGTTTTTTAGGAAGTGGATGCCTCTCCTGCTTCCAAGGTTACTGTCCATTCAACAATATTTCAAGTGCCTGGTAAGCAATAGGCATCATGTTAAGCACAGGGCTGACAGTGATGACACGGTGCTGTCCCTGCCCTAGAAAAGCTGGCAGTCCAGAGACTGAAAGTAAACGCATGATTGCATACCTAGTAACAAGGGCTGTGACACAAGAATGGACTCTGGCTTTCTTATGGTCTCTGTCTTAGATTTAACCCCTCCCTTTCAATTCCACAGCCAAGGAATTAGTCCTCCCCACCCCCACACCTAGTTGGATGAATTGGGCCATAAAATTTCCTCAAGTTCTAAAGATTGAAATCAAAGTGCCTTGGATTTGGGGGAACTAGAAATAGTATTTACATTAGAGTAGACTTCCTTCCTCCCAGTGAGGGGATTTTCTACTTCAACAAGGTTTCTGATTTCTACCTCAAGTTATTTTTTTTTAAACTAGCCATCTTTCCCCCTCCCTGTCATTTCCAACTTAATTTCTGGACATATAGGTAGTTCCTAAAGAAATAATGTCTTATGTATTATAAGGATACTGTCAGTAAATGTATGTTTAAGGGTATTGAAAGTAAACGTTGTAAGAAAATGTTGGTGTTTTTACCTCTAAATTTTATATATGCTTTGCTTCCCTACACCCACAGATGAGTAAAGGCTTTCCCAGAAATCCCTGAGAATACAAATCATTTTTATTTCATTGCTTTCCCCCCTAGAATTCTCAATCGTAATCCACTAACAACTATTGAAGATCCATTTATTTATCGGTTGCCGGCATTAAGATATTTGTAAGTATTGCAACAATCGTATGAGTCATGAAATGAGCCAGCTCTTCCCTTTCACTTTCATAAAAGACTGAGTTATAGTATTTAGTATAAAAAGTAATAATTTTAATTTGATTACTGAAAAGGGTTATTTGCAAGGAAAAAGATTAAGAAAGGTAGAGTACGAGAGCAATGAGTACTGAAGAGCACAGGGATATGGCACATGCAGATACATAGAAAAATAGAATTTCTCCAAAAAGAGCAGAGTTTAGAGTCTGTCTACAAAAGAAGAACAAGGATTCAAAAGAGGTTAATACAAGATGAAAGTTGAAAGTGTAATAATGGTAAAAGACTAAGTTCTCCTATCTGTGCCAATATCATTAAAATCTGACACTGCACATGAATTTCTTCCATAAAAACTTTGTAAACATCAAATGCTGGCAAGGTTGTGGAGAAACTGGAATCATTATCCACTGTTGGTAGGAGTGTAAAATGGTGCAACCACTGTGGAAGGCTGTATGGCACTTTCTCAAAAAGTTGCAAATAAAAATACCATTTGACTCAGCAATTCCACTACTGGGAATATACCCTAAAGAAACCAGAACTGACAACCAAACAGATACATGCACACCCATGTTTATTGTGGCTTTGTTCACAATAGTAAGGATTTGGAAACAACCCAAATGCCCATCAACAAACGAATGGACAGAGAAGCTGTGGTATATTCACACAGTGGAATACTACACAGCATTGAAAAACAAGGAACTTGAAATATTATACAAAATGGGTGACCCTGGAGGACATTATGCTGAGTGTAATATCTCAGTCACAAAAGGACAAATATTGCATGGTGCCATTGTTGTGAAATGGGACTCACATAGGGGATAAGGGAAGCCTGAGAAAGAGGGGATAAATAATGTATACTGCATTGAAACAGATGCGGAAGAAAACTGTTTAAAAGCGATATATGATTAGGTATAATCATGACAGAAGTCCAGAATGGAGGCTGCACAGTGGAGTGGACTTGGGGGGAGGAATTGTAGAACAGTGAAAGATTTTACTTTTCAAAGAGAAGAGTGAATTCTGGGGGAGAGGGGGTAGACAGGGAGAAAAGTGCAACACTGAATGAATTAAAACCCTTAGTCTCGTTAAACTTTCATTTAAATTAATTAAAAAAATAAAAGAAGAAAAAGAACTTTGTACTTCTATGGAAAATTTATTTCATCTGGTTTGTTTCAGAGAGAAACCAAAATTGTAGTTACTTGTCCTTAACTATCTTTAATGTTAAGAAGTTTTCTGTCTGGGTTCATATCATAAACATGTGGGCTTTCTCCTTCAGAGACATGGGAAGAACAAAATTGTCACTCAAAACCATTGAGAACATCGTCATAATGACACTGCAATTGCAAAAACTGTAAGTAATTTTATTCTTAGATTTATTTTAAGGTGGGAGGTTTTTCTAAGTTTTAAAAAGTTATTTTTAAGTCAGTTTATTGAAGTCTAATAAACTTTATCATGTACATTTACCCTTGTAAATATATAGATATTTAACATGTAATCAAATTTACCCTTCTAAAATATACACTTCAGTAATATTTGAAGGATGTATAGTTTGGTATTAATCACCAAAATCAGTCCAGATTAGAATAGGCTGTGGGAAGACACTTTGCGCCTCTTTGCTGCCCAAGAAACATGGTACATACATACTCTGCATTGTTCCTTGTATCCTTTCATTTCTGTCTCTTGTCCTTTATACACTGGAATTAATTACAGTAGTAGTTGACTCCTCAAACTGAGTCTCCAACCTTGAGCCAGCAACCTCTCTTGCTGCCAGTCCATGTCATTGTTGTTGTTTACCATCAAGTCAGAACTGACCCATAGCTGACCCTCTAGTGGGTTTTCAGAGGCAGTAATTGCACAGAAGGTGATGGCCCATCCTTCTTCTGCAGAGCAGCTGGCAGATTCGAACTATATGCCTTTGGGATTGCAGCACAGATTCTTACCACTAGGCCACCAGACAACCACTTATTTGATGTCTATCCCGACTGGTTTGCCTTTTCAAGAATTTCTTAGAAATTAAATCTATTGTACATAGTCTTTTAAATTTAATTCCTTTCACTTAGCATAATCCTTTTCAAATGTGTGCATGTAGCTATGGCTTCCAACATCTCATCGTTTTCTATTGCTGTGTAGTATTTCCAGTTGCTTAGGGAGCTTGGTGGCTTAGATGTAAGGAGCTGGGCTGCCAACGCAAAGGCACATGGTTCTACTTAGCTAAGTAACTCTTTACCATTAATTTCATTCTCCTTGTTTCCATTTGTAGGATCTTACCTAGACATCTGGCCTGCTGCCTTTGTCAGCTTAAAACCACTATTGAAGCTGTGGGTAAAACAGTCAAGATACACTGTGACAGTGGATGTCTGCAAAACAAGGCATACTGCAGTGAGTCTCAATTTTAAACCAACAAGTAAACTATTTCTTTTTATTCACTGATTTCATTCAGAGTTTCATAAGAACTGCTCCCTCCTGAAGGTTGGAGTCTCAGTTTGGCAAGAACTAATAGTGTAATCAATCTCAGTATATAAAAGACAAGAGAAAGAAATGAAAAAAATACAAGGAATAATGAGGAATATGTACCACACTCTCTGCCCAGCCTTTGCCCCTAATGGAGAACTTATTTGTGCAATGTATTATGGTTTGTAAACTGATTTTACATATACCATATTATGTTCCAAGAGCCCCCTATGTTGGGGCAGCTGTAAACCTGCTTTTGGTTTTATTTCTGCAGTTTCATAAAGGAGTAACAGAGATAATGATTGATAAAAGTTTGTTTGGAGCCTCAGGTTTCAGAACCATACGCTGCTGTCCAGCTCTCCTAACAGATGGGAGGACTCTCCCATTCTTAGACTGTCCAACTCTGAACTTGCTCTGAATCTCAAGCTTTTCTAAGGCCAAGACAGGCACTTTTTTTTTTTTTAATTAACTTCAATGACCATTTACAGAGACTTTGGATTTCCATTCATTCATTATTTCATTTTTCTCCCTTCCCATCCCTCCCCCCCAATTCACTCTTCACCTTGAAAAGTAAAAGAAAAATTCTTTCACTGTTATACAATCCCTCCCCCCAACTCCACTCCACTGTGCAGCCATCATTCTTGACTCCTGTCATGATAATATAATACCTAATCAGATATCACAGTTTTCTCTCTCATCTGTCTCAATGCGGTATCCATTATTTATTCCCTCTTCCTCAGTCTCGCCTCAACCCCAATATGAGTCCCATTTCACAACAGTGACACCATGTGCTATTTGTCCTTTCATGATTGAGACACTTCACCCAGTATAATGTCCTCTAGGGTCATCCATTTTGTATAATATTTCATAAGTTCTTTGTTTTTCAATGCTGTGTAGTATTCCATGTGTGAATATACCAGAGGTTCTCTATCCATTTCGTTTGTTGATGAGCACTTAGGTTGCTTTCAACTCTTTGCTATTGTGAACAAAGTCACAATAAACATCAATGTGCATATATCTGCTTGGGTGGCAGTTATGGTTTCTTTAAGGTATACTCCTAGTAGTGGAATTGCTGGGTCTAATGGTATTTTTATTTGCAACTTTTTGAGAGGGCACCATTCCATAGTGGCTGCACCATTCCACACTCCCACCAACAGTGAATAAGGGTTCCCATTTCTCTGCAACTTCGCCAGCATTTGTTGCTTGCTGTTCTATTAAATATTGCTATTCTTACTGGGGTGAGATTATTATCTCATAATTGTTTTAATTGGCATCTCTCTTAGAGCTAGGGATTTTGAACATTTATTCATGTGTTTGTTTGCCATCTGAATGTCTTCTTTGGTGAAGTGTCTGTTCATATCCTGTGCCCATTTTTTTAATTGGGTTACTTACTTTCATCTTGTTGTGGTGCTCGAGTATTTTATAAATTCTAGATATAAGTCTCTTATCTGACATATCATTACTAAATACTTTTTCCTAGTCTGTGGCTTCCCTTTTTACCCTGTTGGAGAAGTTTTTGGATGTGCACAGGTATTTGATTCTTAGAAGGACCCATTCATCTGTTTTATCCTTGTTGTAGATTTTTCAGGATGCTTGGAAGACTGTTTATGTTGCAAATTAGGACTTCTACAGTTCTTTCAAGCTTTTCTTTAATGAAATTTATAGTCCTTGGTTTTTGTCCCAGGTCCATGATCCATTTTGAGTTGGGTTTTGTGTATGGAGTGAGGTGTGGATCTTGCTTGACTTTTCTACTGATAGTTCTCCAATTTTGCCAGCACCATTTGTTAAATAGGCTGTCATTTCCCCACTTAACTGATTTAATCTCCTTGTCAAAAATCAATTGACCATAGGTAGATGGGCTGATTTCTCAATTCTATTCCATCGATCTGTGTTTGTCATTGTACCAGTACTATGCTGTTTTGACCATGGCAGTGTAGTAGGATTTGAAATGGGGGAGTGAGATGCCTCCTACCTTGTTTCTCTTTTTAAGGAGTACTTTGCTTATTTGGGGCCTCTTTCCATTCCAAATGAAACTGGAGATTGCCTTTTCCATCTCTTTGAAGAATGGAATTGGTATTTGTATTGGGATTGCATTGAACGTGTAAATTGCCTTTGGTAGTATTGTTATTTTCACAATATTGAGTCTTTCTATCCATGAGCAAGGAATATTCTTCCACTTCTCTAGGTCTCTTTTTTTCTTTTTTTAAATTTTTTTTATTATTTTATTATTTTTTAGTGTACCGTCAAATTGGATCTGACTGGCACAGGAAGATTGTCCCTCCTTCTCCAGCAGAACATCTGGTGGATTCGAACTGCATACCTCTGGTATTGCAGTGCAGCTTCTTGCCACTAGGCCACCAGAGATCCCTTTTCTTTTTGTTTCTTGTAGTGATCTTTTGTAATTTCCTTTGAATAGATCCTTTGTATTTCTGGTTATATTTACTCCCAAGTAGTTAATCTTGTGATTAGCTATTGTGAAGGGTATTATTTTTCTTAGCTCTAGTTCTGTATTCTCTTTGTCACTGTAAAGAAATACAATTGATTTTTGTTTGTTGATCTTGTATCCTGCCACTTTGCTGATTTGGTCAATTATGTCCACCAGTTTTCTTGTTGAGCCTTTAGGGCTTTCTAAGTGTACTATCATATCATCTGCATATAGAGATGACTTGACCTTCTCTTTGCCAATTTGCTTACCTCTTATTTCCTTCTCTTGCCTTATTTCTATCGCTAAGACTTCCAATACCATATTGACTAGGAGAGGTGATAGTGGGCATCCTTGCCTAGTTCCTGTTCTCAAGGGGAATGCCTTTAATCTCTCTCCATTGACAACAATGTTGGCTCTTGGGTTTACATAAATACTTTTTACTATGTTGAAGAAATTCCCCTCTAATCCTATACTTTGTGAGTGTTTTAATCAGGAAAGGGTGTTGGATTTTGTCAAAGGCCTTTTCTGCATCAATTGATAGGACCATATGGTTCTTGTTCTTTGCCTTGTTGATGTGATGAATTACATTGATTGTTTCTCTTATGTTGAATCATCCTTGCATGCCTGTTATGAATCCCACTTGGTCATGGTGAATTTATTTTTGATGTATCGTTGGATTCTATTGGCCAGGATTTTATTTAGGATTTTTGCATCTATGTTCATGAGAGATACTGGCCTATAGTTTTCTATTTTGGTGGTGTCTTTACCTGACTTTGGTATCAAGGGTATGTTTGCTTCATAGAATGACTCTGGAAAAATTCCATCTTTATCTATTTCCTGAAATAGTTTATGTAGAATTGGTGACAGTTCTTCTCTGAATGTTTGATAAAATTCACTTTTACCATCTGGATCTGGTCCAGGGCTTTTTTTTTTTTTGGCTGGAAATTGTTTTATTACCTTTTCACTTTGTTCTTTTGTAATGAGTGTGTTCAGGTGTTCAGTGTTTCGGTTGGTGTCAGTTTAGGTCGATTGTGAATTTTTAAGTACCCATTTCCTCTGGGTTTACGTATTTGAGTATAGTTTTTCATAATATTCCATCGTAAGCCTTTTTCTTAGTTCTCTTGTTGGTTTTTTTGTTTTGTTTTGTTTTTTTCTTAGTTCTCTTGTGATGTTGCCTGTTTCATCTTTTATTCAGATTGTGTCTTGTCCTTCTTTTCCTTTGTTAGTTTCACTAGTGGTTTGTCGATTTTATTGACCTTTTCAAAGAACCAATGCTTAGTTTTGTTGATGGTTTCAATTGTTTTTCTGCCCTAATTTTTATAATTTCAGTTTTTTTTAGAGGGTGTTGTTGTTGTTGTTGTTATGGGCCATTGAGTCTCCTGCGGCTCAGAGTTCTGAACCCTGCTCTATCTTGAGCCAACTTCATTGTTCGTCTTACACACCAACCCCCATTGCCCCAGTCATGGAGTCAGTCCATCTCATCAAGGGGCTTCCTCTCTTGAGCTGTCTGTCTCTCCACCCTTCCAAGCATGATATCCCTCTCCAAGAACTGGTTCCTCCTGAAAACATACTAAAAGTATGTCATATGGAGCTTTAAGGTATTGTTTATCCAGAAATTGCTTTTATCTCAAAGATTTCTTGAGCATTCTACATAGTCATGAAACATGATAAATTAAAAATCTCTTGCTCAATTGAATAGTTTCCAGCTATCATAACTGAACAGTTTGGTTGTTTTTGGTTTAAATTTTTTTTTATTCATTTGGCTCTAATCATTCATATATATCGTATTGTATACATATACTTTATGGTTTTTCATTAATAATATAAAATATAATGCACATGAATGATTATATAAAACAGAAGGTACATGAATGAAACACAACATATGTGAATGATTTCTGAACTTTTAAAAAATATCTAATGAACAATCCTAAAGTCCCAAAGGATTTCCAAAGTTGTTAATATTTAAGAAACAAAGAAATCTACCAGGGGCTGGTAGATTTGAACTGTCAATCTTTTCATTAGCAACTGAGTGTTTAATGATTTGTGACTAGGGCTACGTCATCCTAAATGGATGTTGTTACTAGAGGCTATGGAGTCAGAACTGCTGCATAGCTGACACTTCAACTAGTTTTCAGACGCTCTAAAACGCCCAGGAGGGAACTGCTCATCTTTCTTTCTGAAGCACCTAGTGGATTAAAATTCTATGACTTTTGACAGTGAAACTGCTTAAACATTAGGCCATCACTGTATCTCACACTGTAGAATTTCCTAAGTAGGAAGCCACTTTATCCAAGAAACCAAATTGGACAAAGTGAACACATTCATATTAGAACTTTGTTGTTGCTAAGTTATCTCCAAATGGTACTGGAATCATTGTTGACGACTGATTAACTCTTCTGGGATATATGCTCCAGATTGACAAAAAGCTGTCCCATCAGTCTTTCATTATCAAACAGTCTCTTCTGTTTTGTCAGGTAAAGAAGACTATCTCATGGATACAGAGGGAACATTCCTGAAGGCATTGCAAATACGAAAGAAGAAAACCAACAGCGAGCTTATTATTGAACGAGAACAAATTACCTCAGATGGAGGTGATGTCAAATTGTCAACTGTGCTAAATGAATCACTAGACATTAATGACAAAAGTGATATCATTAATGCAATAAGTTATATCCTGCCTTATTTCTCGGATGGAAAAGTCAAAGATACAGAAGCAACTATATTCCCATTCATTAGGATGCTTTTTGCACAGGATAGAAAAAAAGTCCAAATAGCTACTCAAAATAAGAATATCCCTGTTAATTCAGCCCTCAAACACAAAAGGAAACTGAAAAAGAACCATATTCTCGAACATGTGTTCGATGCTGAAAAGCAAGATAAAATTTATGAAGTTAAAAGAGAAGATAAAACGGCTGTGTTTATGGAACCCAACACGTTAGGGTCCAATTATAAACACCACCTAATCAAAAATGAAGTAGTACCTGCTCACCCCTGGGAAAACAGGTTGTCAAAGATCCAGGACCCAGAGCACAGGGAGAAGTTAAATAGAGTAAAGGCATTCCTAAAGGGCAAGAAGAGGAGGTACCTCAAAGACATGGAGGATCAGAACATCAAGGGGAAGCAGGGATCCACTCTATTAATCAAGAGCACCCCTAAAGCAAGGATCCCCGAGAGAACAGCCCCCAGTGGTCTGTCTCACAGTAAACTGCACAAAGTGCAGGAGCCAAGAAAGATAGAGATGATCTCTGTCCACACGGAGCCATCATTCGTCCAAGACCATACGGCAGCATTACCTTCCACCTCTCCTCCTTCCGAAGCCCCAGCTAAAGTTATAAATCATAAGAAAGACTTGTCCGATCCCATTTATGTCTTAGAATATGCAAATTCAAGAATAAGAAATATGAAGGCGCTTGAATCTGAGACATATGCTCCAAACAATTATGTGTTGCATAGTTCTGGCTCGCCTCTGAATCACAGAAGGACAAAAGTGAAACATAAGCGATGGTTCAGGAAGAAAGATTCCCTCCAGAAGCTGGTGCTTGGGAGACCTCTTTCCTCTGCAGTAAAGAGTCTCATAGATTCTGCTCCACGAGACAGTTTTTCGTCTTCTGCAGGTGTTATTTCTCAGGAAAATATTCTTCCACAATTAAGCACTATCCCCAGGGAGCCTTCTACAGAATCTGCTGTGACTGCCCAAGACTTAATGCAAACACAATGGAAGTTTCACAACCCAGGTACTGACTTTCGCTCCAAACCTGGAGACTCCACTATCCCAATGCACTTACCTTTAGGTGACAGTTTTGAAACTCTACTCGATCAGGAGCTACGACCCCTCATCCCAAACAGTGACGTGAGAAAACTCTTTTCTCATGTTCTCTGGACTTTGAAAACGGACTGCTCTGATTCCCAATTGCAGACGGCCTGTGCCAACCTCGTTTCCAGAACAGGCCTTCTTATGAAGCTTTATAACGAGCAGCAGGATGATAAGATGTCCAAGACAGCCTGGGACACTGACCAATGGAAATCCGACCACTTCATTGATGAAGACATGGAAATAATGAATAAACAAAAAGTAAAGCTGCCAGATGAGGTGAGGACAGCTCCAGAAATCGGGGTCCCAGACTTTCCTTCAGCGTGTAGGACTTGCCTGTAGAGTGCGCATGCTCCTGCACCATAGCTCATCTTAGCCCAGTGACTATAGTTAAGACGGTCATCTCCCACTTTGCGCATTTAAAGGAGAGTACTGTTCCAGAAGACTAATCACAAAAATGGTACAAAAAGAACGTGTACTAGTAAGAGGACTGGCTTTGGGTAATGAATGGTTAGCTTTTGTCTTTTACATCTGTTTGTTCATAATTCCTTCTTATATTTCAGCCCACAATGGAAGTACCGAATTATAAGTATTTTAAGAAACTCTTCGTGGCAGTATCAGTGACTGCTGTAGTGGTGATTTTGGTTCTGGTGTTCTGTCTCATTAAGGTAAGGACAATAATGAATTCATATTTCCGCAATATATCTTGTCTTTATAATAGAGTCACAACCTATAAATTGAGGATTAAATTCACTTTCTGACCTAACACTGTGTAATAGTCATGTGGACTGGGCTACACTTGGATTTTTCATTGCAAAGGATATTCCAGGACTTTTAAAAGAACCCACTCCCAGAAGATCTTGGTGGCCCTGAAACCAAGATAACAAGCCATTAGACTCTATGAGAAGGTAAGCTTAGAAGGCCAGGTAGATGAAAGCAAAATTTCATCAACCCAAAACTATGGCAGTGATTCTATATAGTCAGTCATTTTCCTTCTGTCATTGATTTTATCCTATCATTGATTTTGTTGTTAGCTGGCTTAACTGGTAAGAGAGAGAAAAAATGACATCTCATAAGAATTATCAATCCAAGAAGGAAATATACACACACAAAAAAAAATCTAGAAATTATCTTGTAGATTCATTAGGTTTTGTTAGTGTTATTCCTTGCTAGTCTGTGAGGTATCATCTAGACCGGCTCAATTAACAAACAAATTCCTTTACCCACGGAATTTCTTAGAGTTTGCCTCTATTTACTGTTTGTTCAGTTATATAATACTTTATTAATTTCCTGATGAACCTCTGCTAGCATAGTAAATGCATATTTAAGAAGTTGACCATCTGACCTTATTCTAACAATTCCCACCAGTTTACCTAATTACTTTTTCTATTGTCTATTCCCAGAGCAGCTCTCCCTTCAATCCGGAGCATTCCCTATCCATCCCCCATTCTCAACATATCACTTCCTACTTGTGTCTGTGCCTTTGCTCATCTAAAGTCCCTTTCACTCACACTGCCTATTAGTCTATTAAAAGCCAATGCACAAGCGTCTTTGTTCACAAAGTCTTTCCTGAACTCTCTTGTCTTTCGGACCTTGGTCTCTCTCTGAGGCCCTTAAGGGCCAGAGAGAATCATATTCCTTTTCCTAAGAACTTGAGAATATGGTAACAACTGTTTTAAAGGCAGACTACAAAAGGCAATGCAAGGTCAACACATTAAGAAGCAAATCAGGTATTTAAAGACAAAACTGCTTTCTGATTTTTGTACAGAAAGTAACAGCTAGCAGCAGCAGGCTTGATCCGTTCCTTGTAGAGAAGGCAAGGAACAGGCCAACAAGGGCAGTGTCTGTTCTAACATTGCCCACAGTAGAGCTGTTGCCTGCAGCAGCAGATACACTGTCAGGCCACTAGGACACTGTGCCTGAGATGGAGAGAGGTGGGCTCAGTGCCCTCAGTTCATTGTTTCAGTCTACTCTTTATGTTCTAGTCTTTATCTTTTTGAGCTTTGTCTCTACAGAAACACAGTCTGTCTGTGGAACCGATCCTTTTCTCACATCATAATCGGGCATTTGGTCATTCCTGAAATATAGACAAAGTATAACTGCCCCCAGAAAGAAGCAGTTGATTCTCTCTTAGTGGCAAGAGAGACTCATTTAAGACTGGGGAGGCTGGGGACCAGCACAAGGTCAGCTAAAGGCGTTGGGGAAGACTTACTCACTGACTACTGCCCAGATGTGCTCCCACTGCCCAAAGGAGTATGTGGCACTTTCCTTTTTAAATACACACACACACACACACACACACACACACACGAGTTTATTTACAAAATTAAAATACATTGTTTTCCAGAACAGATAATTCCAAGTTCCCTCACCCCCGCCATCCATAATCCCACTCTCCCCCTGCAAATCCTCATCCCTCTGCTTCCACCCCTCCCTCATGGATCCTTATACTCTTAATATAATAATGGTTTTATACAATATTTGTCCTTGTGGGACTCAGTTAATTCACTCAGCATAATGCTTTCTGGGCTCTCGCAAGTTAGGTAATAATTTACAAAATCATGGCTCCTGCGTGCTGCGTAGTATTCCATTGAGTGAATGTACCATAATTTTTCAATCCATTTATTTGTGGTTGGATATCTGGGCTGTTCCCATGTTCTTGTGATGGTGAATAATGCTGCTATGAACATTAGTTTACAAGTCGTCTTTTGTGCCTCAGTTCTCATTTTTGTCATGGTATACTCCAAGTTCGAAAGAAAAAAAATAAAAGGTGACCTAACAGTGTGGAAACTATTGAGCAATATCACTAATATCACATGCAAGCAAGATCCTGCTTAAGATTATCCAAAAACAACTGAACCTACATCATCAGCAGAGAACTACTACCAGAAGTGCAAGCTGGGTTTGTAAGAGGTCATGGCACTAGGGACATCATAGTTAATGTTAGATGGATCTTGGCCCAAAGCAGAGAATACCAGAGGAGTGTCTATCTGTGTATCATTGACTATGCAAAGACATTTGACTGTGGATGACAAAAAATTCTAAGCTTGAGGAAAATGGGAATCCCAGAACGCTAAGGATGTCAGTATAGAGACTAAGATGTGCCTGATCCAGGCCAGAGTCTTCACAACTAATTGCTATGCATCAGAGAGCTGGACAATGACAGAAGAATTGACACCTTTGAGTTGTGGTACTGGAGAAGAATATTGACCATGCCATGGACTGCCAAGAATACAAATAGGTCTGTATTAGAGAAAGTGAAACCAAGTTTCTCCTTGGAGACAAGAATTTTGAAGTTTTGTCTCACATGCTTTAGGCACATGGCCAGGAGGGACCGGTCCTTGAAAAAAGGACATCATGCTCTGAAGGGTGGAGAGAGAGCACAGGAGAGGAAGACTCTGGATAAGATAGACTGATACAGTAACTGGGGTAATGGAGGTAGGTGTGTCTGAGTCACTAAGACTGGCTCAAAAAAGGGCAGGCTTCAGAGCTGTTGTACAAGGGGGTCGTAGTGCATCACAGGCAACTAGATGCCACTTAACAACAACATAATTGGACCAGGAGCAACAGTCAGAACAGAGCAGGGAATCACTAGATGGTTCAGGATCAGGAAAAGTGTAAGTCAGGGATGCATCCTATACCCATATCTTTTCAAACTATATGTGGAACAGACCATTAGGGAGGCTGGACTTTATGAGAAGGAATGTGGGATCAGGACTGGAGAAGACTCATCAAAAACCCACATTATGCAAAGTGGCACAACTTCGCTTTCTGAACCTGAGGAAGACATGAGACATTTGTTGCAGAAGGTAAAGGACTGCAGTCTTCATTATGGATTGAAGCTCAACAGCAAGAAAACAAAGATTCCAGTGGTGAGAATTGGGACAATTCCACTGAGACGACTGGTAGCTTCATGACAGACAGAGGAGAGATTGACCTTAACAGCTTCATCTTTCTTGGTTCAATAAGTTACACTCTTGGAAGCAGCAGTCAGGAAGTCAAAAGATGATTTGCATTGGTAAAATACCCTGTTGGGGACTTACGTGGAGTACTGAAGTGCAACAATGTCCGTCTGGAGACTAAAGTGTGCCTGATACAGGCCATGACCTTCACAAAAACTTGCTATGCATCAGAGAGCTGTATAATGACTAAGGATAATAGAGTATGACTCTATGCTTTTGAGTTGTGGTGCTGGAGCAGAGTGTTGAACATACCATGGACTGCCAGGAGAACATACAGGTCTATTCTAAAGATGGTGAAACCAAGCTGCTCTCTGGAGGCAAACCTCTTGAAACTCCATCTCACATACTTTGGGCAGGTGGCCAAGAGGGACCAGTCCTTGGAGAAGGATGTCATTCTTGGAAGGGTGGAGGGATAGCACACGGGAGGAAGATCCAGGATGAGATGGATTGACTCAGGGATTGGAGAAATGGAATTGGGTCTGTCAGAGACAATGAGAGTGGCTCAGGAGAGCATAGGATTCAGAGCTATTGTACACAGGATACCTGTGAGTCACAGGGAGCTTGATGACACACAAAACAACAACAATAAACCCTCTGCTTTTAATGTCTATGTTCTGTTTAGCCTTATATTTCTACATTTATATTTTCCTTATATGTTCTTCCTACTTAGATATCAAGCTTTTTGAGGACTATAACCATGCAGTATTTTAATAGTAATGGACAATAATGGTGTTTGTTATTGTGTGCTCTTGAGTCAGAATCGACTCATAGTTGACCCTCCAGTGGGTTGTTAGAGGCAGTAAAGTCTCAAAGGAGGAGAATGCCTATCCTTCTCCAGGAGAGCATATTATGGATTTAAACTTTGTGCCTTTGGGATTGCAGCACAGCTTCTTGCCACTATGCCACCAGAGCTCTATTATAAGGATGCTTAAGAGAAGAAAAAGGAAAAACAAGGAACTCATGCCATATCATTCAAAATGGGTGACCCTGGAGGACATTACGCTGAGTGAAGTATCTCAGTCACAAAAGAACAAATGGTGCCACCGTTGTAAAATAGGACTGACATCAGCGTTGGGGGAGACTGAGAAAGATGGGTTCAATAATGTGTACTGCATTGAAACAGATGAGGGAGAAAACTGTTAAAGAGGGATATGTGATTAGGTATTTTTGTCATGATGGGAGTCCAGAGCGAAGGCTGCATAGTGGAGTGGACCTGGGGGAAGGGATTGTAAAACAATGAAGGAATTTTTCTTTTACTTTTCCAAGAGGGTAGTGTCCTGGGGGGAGGGTTGGGAGGGGAGAAAAGTGCAACAATGA